CATGTGTATGTTTGTATATTAAAAATCTAATAAAGTGATGGAAAAAATACTTTATTGTGGCTTAAGCTTACTAAATACCATAATTCTATGATGCCTGGACAAAAATGGAGGTTTGGTCCTTTCACCATTGTCACTTTATGTCCAGTCATATTGCTTCACTGGTCATATACTTGGTACACTTGGTTTCGTTAAAATACAACGGAAACAAAACGTTGCAGCCCTCAAAGCTTGGCCCCTTGATTACTGCCAAAAAAATGAACAAGCTGTGAAACACACCTGTAGGATAATCGGGGAGGCGGCTATAACTTGGCAGTTTCTGCCAAGGCCTTTTCTGTTGCTCTCCTCCCTCCATCTCCACCTCACACTGGCTGTTGTAATGCTCATACAGCTGCATCATTTCTGAGCTCCACGACGAGTTAGGCAAGCTGAAGTCCTGGGTGTGGAGGAAAAGAGCAATAGCAGTGCCTGCTTAACAGAGGAATGCATCACAGCCTCAGTCTAGTCTGGGTCTTAAAGGCTTTGGGCAAAGTTTGCAGTGGGACGGTGTTGGCTGTGTTATGACAGGGCATGTCTCTGTCCTTTTAATCCTTCCATATCTCTGGGAATGTCAAAATCTGTCTGCTTTGTGACACCTGTAGTATTCAGTCATCTTAGGTCAACAGAGACAGAGAAGTAATAATTTCACAACGTTCAAGAGATCTCTGTCTCTTGCTGCCAGTCAAAACTGAATATCATTAACTGTTACTTTGGATTGCAGCTCAGTGGCCTAGTGGTAGAGTGTCCGCCCTGCGACTGGGAGGTTGTGGGTTCGATCCCCAGCCGGGTCATACCAAAGACTATAATAATGGGACCCATTGCCTCCCTGCTTGGCACTCAGCATCAGGGGTTGGAATTGGGGGGTTAGATCACCACATGATTCCCGAGCGCGGCACCGCTGCTGCTCACCGCTCCCTCAGGGGGTGGGTCAAATGCGGAGAACAAATTTCACACACTCAGGTGTGTGACAAGCAGTGGAACTTTAAACTTCAATTAGGTGTTTCACCAATAACCCAATATGGCAATATAAGATGCCTGGGGATGCACGATATTAGATTTTTTGCCTATATCCAGTATGCCAATAATCATTTGGCTGATAAGCAATACCGCTATCGATATATCCACTTTTTTCCCTAATTTTAGTGATCATCAAGTCTCGTCTGTAGTGGCATTAACATTATATTAAGATGCATATTCTTATTGTCATGGCCCACCAGCAGATGGAGACATGGCATAAAATGCTTTTCAATGTATAGAATATTCATTAATCGTGCAAAATAAGGAAAAGGACATTGGGCGATTCATTTTAAAGCCGATATTGGCCAATACAGATGATGTACTGACGAATTGTTTATTTAGACCTTTGGCTTTGGATAATATATCAATCATGAATCGTTCATTTGATCTAGCTCTGACAGGCTTTGGAGAGAGACAGTAGCGTCAATCGAGGATTACAGCACCCAGCATACACCACTTTATTCAGTTAATACTGGCAACTTGGATTTTTATTTTTATAAGAAAAACCCATTAGATTATTTTTATCTGAGGAACCCCTATGAAGTAAAGGAGTATGAAGAACCTACAGGGTAATTGAGGAATAGACACATAATTTGTGGTAGCCAACAACCCATTTTTTTTCTATTAAAAAAACAGAACTGCTTGGCAACCAGACCAGACGCCCAATTGAGACAGGTGTTTATTTGTCAAAATGTGTCAGCATTTAATCGGGACTAGGCTTTTTTAAATTCTACATAATAAACTTATGTCACCAAATTGTAATCACCGACATTTTGATCAGTAACTGAAATTTAATTACTTTTTTTTCAGTATTTAAATGGGACTAGGTGTGAGAATGAATCACAGGCTACCTACACCCATCACTGAACTGATCAACATCTGGAAGGAGTGAGAGGACACTGAGTTCCCAGCGCACACAGATGAAACCCTGTTCCCTTTAACCATTTAATAACCCGGTCACCAGTCTTTGTCACAGGTTACCTACCACCACGGTCCGTACAGAGGTGGTCCTGACTGAAAACCTGGGAGGAGGAGGGTGGATGAGTTGAGTCTGGGAGGATGAAAGTGAGCCTAGGCGTTGAAAGCCCCTGAATATACGACCGAGGCTCCTTGCCATTTGTAAGGTAACAGTTTTAAATGATGGTGATGATGATGATGGAGGAAAAGCCTGCATAGAAGCTAATTCTGACAGTTGGTTGTATTTAAAGATAACTGATGGTGTCAGCTGTCTCCAAAAGAAAATAGTCGTCTGAAGTGATGCACAGTTTACCGGTGACTGCTCAGCACATCAGCGGCTGTCAACCGTTTTGTTTATGACTTGCAACCCAAGCAACAGGCGGAGCCCTAACGCCACCTTCTTTAGGTATTATGGCAGATAACAACCCACTCCCGAATGGGAGTAGTAGATGTCTCTGATGAGAGGAAATGTGACCAGGAGGGAGACTGAATTTTGTCTGGAGTTGGGCAAAAGATCATAAAATTGTTTTCTCAGTCCAAAACACTAAACTACCTATGCAATATGAAATTATTTTAGTTGAGATGTATTAATCTTGTAGAGTCTTTCAATCAAAAACGTTACATTTAACCCTTTCATGCATAGTGGCCACTGCAGTGAACATCTGTTTAAAAGCCATTTTCTTGTATATGCATGGGTTTTGATGCTATAGTTGCATTTAAGTCACGTGAGTGAACCTTTGCGCGTCATGCCATACACTGCCACCCACTGGCCAGGTGTTGTCAGTGCAACACAAACCTTTGAAAACCAAGATGGCTGACGGAAAGCAAGAAATGCGCAGCTCAAAAATATCTTGCCAATCCTTCTATAATAGGAGACTCTGGTAGGTAAAAAAAAAACATAACATAATAACATATAGGGAGTAATACTGTTGCTACATTTTCCAAGTATTAATTTTATTTTGTGAGGGAGAACAGGGAGAACTTATTCGGACAAGCGTTCTGGGCAACAAGAGTAAACCAATGTCCAATTTGTCAGGTTTCTTTGAGTGCAGTGACCTATTTATCTTAACATGTGCTGACTTTTACACAGGTACAACACTGCAAGTCCATAATTCATCTCAGGTAGGTGTCCATTCAACAGTTCAGTGTCTGTCAATGGTAAGTTTCCATTTATCAATTTCAGTTTCAAAGAGCTACAAACTCTTCATGCTGCCACGCTTCACATGGTTGCTCATCACCTGTACCTTATTACCTGTCCTCCTGTTCTAGTGCGCCACCTTGTGTACAAACAGCAAATCTGCATCTACATGTAGTCACCATTTACGGAAGCTATTGCATTCACTTGACAAATAAAAAAAGCCCTGTTTTTCTGAGTAATTTTTTCTGTTTTTTGGAGTAATTTATTTATTTTTCTGTTTTTCTGAGTAATATTTTCTGTTTTTCTGAGTAATTTTCCCTGTTTTTCGTGGTAATTTTTTTTCTGTTTTTCGAGATATTTTTTTCTTCTGTTTTTTTCTGAGTAATATTTTTCTGTTTTTTTCTGAGTAATATTTTTCTGTTTTTCTGAGTATTTTTTTCTGTTTTTCTGAGTAATTTTTCCCTGTTTTTCGGGGTAATTTTTTTTCTGTTTTTCGAGGTATTTTTTTTCTTCTGTTTTTTCTGAGTATTTTTTTCTGTTTTTTGGAGTAATTTATTTATTTTTCTGTTTTTCTGAGTAATTTTTTTCTGTTTTTCGGGGTAATTTTTTTCTGTTTTTTGTGGTATTTTTTTCTTCTGTTTTTTTCTGAGTAATATTTTTCTGTTTTTTTCTGAGTAATTTTTTTCTGTTTTTCTGAGTGATTTTTTTCCCTGTTTTTCGGGGTATTTTTTCTATTTTTGAGGGGGGATTTTTTCTGTTTTTCTGAGTAATTTTTTCCCTGTTTTTCGTGGTAATTATTTTTCCATTTTTTGGGGTAATTTTTTTTTACAAAGTTAGCCGACAAACGTGTATGGGCATGATTTCAGTTGTCAGTTAAGCTAACATTTTTTTTCCATCATACTGGACATTGTTACTCATCACAAATTTGTCAGCTAACGTTGTTACAATGTTACTAACCTAACCTGTTACATTGAGCGATAGGCCTACACTAGAAGGATGCAGTCGAAAACATAGCTAGATTATCATACCCTGTGTGTAACTAATTACGTGCCTTACCCTTATTGATCCCGTAGTTGAAATTATCTAGGAGCAGGAGCACGAGTGCAAAATACATCCATGAGCAGGAGTCACCATGGATGCAGGGGTAAATTGCAGGTGCCAGGTGCCAGGTGGGAGCTTTTCGCGAGATTTTGAAGTATCTCATCTCCTCGTTCAGGAAAAAAAAGTGACCACAAAAAAACAGAAAAAAAAAAAAAAACCCCGAAAAACAGAAAAAAATACCACGAAAATCAGGGAAAAAGTACTCCGAAAAAAAAAACAGAAGAAAAAAAAATACCCCAAAAAAAAAAGAAATAAAAAACTACCACGGAAAACGGGAAAAAATTACTCAGAAAAACAGAAAAAATGACACCAAAAAACAGAAAAATAAATAAATTACTCCGAAAAACAGAAAAAATTACTCAGAAAAACAGGGCTTTTTTTTATTTGTCAAGTGAATGCAATAACCATTAGTTCAATCAAAACAAATACAAAGAATGTCATTGGGTCTCCAACAAACCTATTTTACAATTTTACTACAGCCCATTTATTTATACATATCTGTCTACTCGTACAAGTAGTGCAACATTTCATTTTACCCTATATGTCTCCACCCCTGGCAGTGTTGTGACACTCTGTATTGCTGATGAGTAAAGCACAAGAAAAAATGGCAATAATCTTCTTTATTATCACTTTGTTTCTCATCTGGTTACACACAGTCCTTCAGAGTTCCCTTTACACAGTCAGAACAACAGCAAAATGCATTCAGTGACCACATCTCTCAAATTTCATGAAGTAACCGTTTCACTCAGCGACACCTTAAGCTAAATATGACTGTGGAGGACACAGCCACATGTTGTTTCCTGGCTAACTTAAGCGCATTGGCCTTTTAAACAGCTGTGAAACTGCTAATTACCGATTAAAGATGTATTGTTTATCAGAAATGGCAGCTATTTCAGATGGTGGCCAACAAATAGGGCTTGGACTCAAACCAGACAGACTGGCTGCACCAAGACTGAAACGTAGAATTTATAAATTAAGCTGAAGAGGAACAGAATAGGAGCCAGACTATGCATATGTGGTTGATGTGTGTCATGACTGAAAGTTGGTGTAGTCTTTGGTTCGACACCAGGGGGAGGTAGAGGAACATGCCAGTGAACTGTCATCCTGTGTCATAAATGTGTGCAAATAACATTTATTTTCCCATGAGTACAAAGAGCTCTCTAACTCAGCACAAAGCACCACAAAGCTCATTGGTCAGGCAATATTTCAAACACCGGATACCGTGGGTCAGTTTTGGATCACTGTGGCTTGCACTGTTTTAATGAGATAACATTTTCCCATGCACGTTTCATTTGCATTTCCATGAAGCATAAGCATATTGTTCAACTTGACGCAGGATATTTGTTAACACACACACACATGCACAGACACACACGCACGACCTCAGAGATCAAACAGATGCCACATAATATTGTGGTTGCTGGTAGTCACTGGTTTCATCAGAGGGCAGGGCAACACAAACGCAGTTCTTTGGTGCTACACAATGTTTCAATCAGGGGAAGGTGACATTTACTTGCAAAGGCTGTAATAATTACAAGTATATCTCAAAGTGTTTTATAGATACAAAAGGCATACGAAGATCGACCCAACCAACACAATAACATTACAAAATGATATAAAACTATGCAACATAAGTTCCCACTCCCGATCTTTGTGTCATTTGTCCAATGAATAAATGCCAGCTTTTTTTTTTCTTTAAATAAACAGTTTATTCTCTCACAGGAAACAAACAGAGCTGTACTCACATCAGTGACATTACTAAATCTATCCTGGTTTGCATGGCGAGGTTCTTTACTGAACAGTTCACAGTCAATGAGTGTTTCTGGGTTAACTTTATTGCGGAGCTTCAGCGATTCCACACAACTTCCTGCAAAATGAAGAAAAGACAAAACAATGTTAATGTGATGTGATAAGGTTGTCTTAACGTCTGTAGCTCTGCAGCCACGGTTCTGTTATGTGGTGCGTGTGTGTGTAATGGGACAGAGGCCTACTGTAAAAACATGGGTGGATTATGAGAGGCCCTGGGCACAGATATGCAAAGGGCCCCACCACCTCTCCTACACAGGAGCAGGACACGCAGACTTTGTGGTGGTTTTGCATCTCTCTGTGGTCGTATCACATCTTTTTGTGGTTTTGTGTGTCCATGTGGTTATTTGGTGTCTCTTTGTAGTTGTTTGCATGATGATACGCAACTGTACATCGCTGTGTCTCCTGATGACACAGGGCCAATTGATGCCCTTTTTAACTGCATTTTAGATATAAAGTCATGGATGGCAGCAAATTTCCTGCAGCTCAACCAGGACAAAACAGAGGTTTTAGTCATTGGTCCTGAAGGCCAGAGAGAGAAACTTTTACCAACACAATCTGTAAAAAATCTGGGTGTGATTTTTGACTCTGAGCTCTGTTTTATTCAACATATTAAAAACATAACAAAGGCAGGTTTCTACCACCTTAAGAATATAGCCAGAGTCCGCCCATTTCTCTCTCAGGCCAGCATGGAGGTGTTGATACATGCTTTTATCTCCTGTAGGTTAGATTATTGTAATGCCCTGCTCTCTGGTCTTCTCAAAAAGAGTATCTCAAATCTACAATTATTACAGANTTAACTGATCTCTTTATTTATCTATTTTAAATTCCTCTTATAACCAATTTATCCGTCTATTATCTATTTTTTATTTATTTTTTATATTCTTACCCCTTCCTCTTTTTACGTTCTTATCTCATTTAAACTTTATATTTTGTTATTTTAGTTAGCCTAGGTTTTAGTTTTGATGCATTTTATGTCTCTGTTTTAGATCATTCTTACCTAGCTACTAACTCAATTTTACAAGCTAAATAGCTTTTTGTTGGGTGGAAGGGTTGAGTTTTCTCTTTTCTTTTTGTTTTCTGTTTGGATCTTTGTTGTTTTTAACCTCTGTGAGGCACTTTGTGTTACTGTTGTATGAAAAGTGCCATATAAATAATGTTGATTTGATTTGATTTGCATCTCTTTAGGGTCATTTTAAGTCTCTTTAAGGTCATTTTGTGTCTTTTTTGGTCATTTTGCATCTCTGTGTAGTCATTATGTGTCTCCTTATGGTTGTTTTGGGGATTTTTGTGGTTGTTTGCATCTCTTTGACGTCAGTTTGTCTCTTCGAGGTCAGTATGTGTCTCTTTGAGGAAATGTTAAGTCTCTTAACAATCATTTTGTGTCTGTTTTGGTTGCTTTGTGTCATCGTGTAGTCATTTTGTGTCTCCTTGTGGTTGTTTTGTGTCGTTTTGTCATGATCTTGTGTGTCTTTGAGGACATTTTGTGTCTTTTTTGGCCACTTTGTGTTGCTTCGTGGTCATTTTGTGTTTCCTTGTGGTTGTTTTATGTCTCTTTCCAGTTGTTTTTCCTGTTTTTGTAGTTCTTTTGTGTCTCTTCGTGGTTGTTTTGTGTCTTTTTGTAGTCGTTTTGTAGTCGTTTTTACCTCTTTAAGGTCAGTTTGTGTCTCTTTGATGTCATTTTGTGTCTCCTCGTGGTTGTTCTGTGTTTCTGTGCGGGTGTTTTTCCTGTTTCTGTTTTTGTAGTTATTTTGTGTCTCTTCGTGGTTGTTTTGTGTCTTTTTGTAGTAGTTTGCGTCTCTGTCTTGGAAGTCAGTTTGTGTCTCTCTGAGGTAATTTGTGTGTCTCAGAGGAAATTTTAAGTCTCTTTAAGGTAATTTTGTGTCTTTTATGGTAAGTTTGTGTCTCCTTGTTTTGTGACTATGTGGTCATTTCTGTGTGTGTGTCTTTGAGCTTAGTTTGTGTCTCTCTGAGGTCAGTTTCTGTCTTTTAGAGGAAATGTTAATTCTCTTCAAGGCAATTTTGTGCCATATTGATCGCTTTGTGATCATCCTGGTGGTTGTTTTGAGTCTCTTTATAGTCGTTTTAGCCTCGATGTGTCTCTATTTTGGTCACTTTGTGTCACTGTGTAGCCATTTTGTGTCTCCTTGTGGTTGTTTTTTTGCTTCTTTGTGGGGTCATTTTGTGTCTCTTTGCAGTCATTTTGTGTGTCTTGAGGACATTTTAAGTCTCTTTAAGGTAATTGTGTGTCTTTTTTGGTACCCTTGTGTTGCTTTGTAGGTCATTTTGTGTCTCCTTGTGTTTGTTTTGTGTCTCTTTGTAGACGTTTTTACCTCTTTGAGGTCATTTTGTGTAGCTTTGTGGTTGTTTTATCCCCCTTTCTGGTTGTTTTCCTGTTTTTGAAGTTATTTTGTGTCTCTTTGTGATTGTTTTGTGCGTTTTTGTAGTAGTTTGCATCTCTGAGGTAGGTTTGTGCCTCTTTGTGGACATTTTGTGTCTCCCTGTGGTTGTTTTGTGTCTTTTTATAGTTGTTTGCGTCTCTGTCTTTGAGGTCAGTTTGTGTATCTTTTGGTTGCTTTGTGTTGGTTTATAGCCATTTTCTTTCTCTTTGTTGTTGCTTTGTATCTTTTTGTAGTTGTTTACATCTCTTTGAGGTCAGTTTGTGTCTCTTTGTGGTCATTTTGTGTGTCTGAGGAAAAATTTAAGTCTCGTCAAAGTAATCTTGTGTCTTCTTTGGTGGCTTTATGTTGGTTTATATTGATTTGGTGTTAACCTTGTGGTTGTTTTGAGTCTCTGTTTGTGTCTCTTTAAGGTCATTTTGTATTGCTTTGTAGTCATTTCGTGTTTCCTTGTGGCTGTTTTATTTACTTTTTTTCCCTGTCTTGTGTCTCTTTCTGGTTGTTTTTGCTGTTTTTGTTTTCTGTTTTTTGAAGTTCCTTTGTATCTGTTTGTGGTCTATTTGTGTCTCTTTGTGGTCATTTTGAATCTCTTCCTGGTCTGTATGTGTTTATTTGAGTGACAATTTGCACATGAAGGCCATGGGGACTCCTGACTCTTTGGGCCCCTGGGCCTGTACACAGTAAGCCCTTTCAGTAATCCTCTCTGATGTTGTGGACAGCTCTATCTGACCACACACGCTCTTATTCTGAAGATCTTACCTTGCTTCCTCCTTGGTTGTGTCTGCAAAGGCACAAATAGCTTTGTCTCTATCCAAAATCTGTTGTTTCAAGTTCTGAATGTCCACCTCGGCCTTCTTTTTGGCCTCCTCGTGATCAGCTGTAGAAACGACAGAGTATAACACAGAGGAACGCATGTTGTGAATTTCCATATTTACCACACACAACAAATGAAATGGGAGCTGCTACTTTTGCTGAGCTCAGATCGGCAAATGAAACCAAGGGACACTGTGCCTGAAGCCACGTTGTCTAGTGCTGTCACATCTTGTTCCACTGGTTTCTAATAGGCAGAGTTTGAACAGACGATGACAGACTGACAGATCTCAGCAGCTCCAATCCATCCTCTGTCTTTTAAAAGGCCAACAGAAACCTGATTAAGGCGTTGTGGTCTGTCGCAACTCTTATCTGGGTCAGTTTGGGTTTGCAAATGTGGTGTTTTACCTATCAGCCCAAAGCACGCGACATAAAAAGCCTTACCTTTGAGTTTAGCCATGGCCTCTACCTTTTCCGTCTTCTTCGTCTCTGCATCTTCCTAATAAGGGCACAGGTGTAAATATCTGTCAGCAGTTACCATGGTGGATTAAGTGGCTTCAATAAAATTATAAAACAAATATTTTGATGTACAAAACTGAGTCAATATAAGATATCATGTGCATCCTGAGGAGTGATACTTTCCTGTCAGTAGTGTTATGACTGTATGCATATTAAACAATACCAGCTGTGTGTTAAATGTGTGTGTCCCTCACCTTCTCCTTGTGACAGGTCTGCAGATTTGTGTCGAACTCCTGCGTTGACTTCTCACTGTCCGCCTTCTTCTTCTTCAGCTCGTCTATGTTGGCGTTGACCGTCACCAGCGTCGTCTTCATCTCCTGGATTTTCTTCTTCATGTCCACGATGGAGTCCTCTCTCCTCTTCACCTCCGCCGAGTTCGCCAACATGCGGGATTTCAGTGTGCGCAGGTTCAGCTCCTGAGTTACGGTTTGGAAAATCATTACAACCATTACGATCACGCTCAGGCCGGTCAGCGCCACCGCGAGCTTCATCATGGCAGAGAGTATAAATAAAGTCTGGATCAATGAGGGTCACTTTTTGCTCATTCCAGGTATGTCTCCAGCCGTGCACGCGTCGACTCCTCGGGCACCGTCCCGCAGTGTGACCGTGTTTACTGTACGTGTAACCTGCTCTACCTGCTCAGCGGGCTGGGCGTGACAATCCACCTATTTCCTCGTGTGACTTTCGCCCTCCTCACTGGTAGGCACGCGCGGCGCTTGCACACAGAAAAAGCAGCTTGGATGGATTTGCATCATGATCAACAAACTCTCTGTTGTTCAGGGGCCACACATTATACAACCCAATTTGATTTCAACTGGGCTGGACCAGTAAAACCACTGCATAATAACCTATAAATATCAACCCCTTCAAATGTTTCTTTCATTCTGAAAACGTTCATCCATTTAACAAAGAAGTAAGAAAACTCGTGCAAATTCAACACTGTGTCTTCGTTCTTCCACATTCAGTCAGTCTACTACTCAACTTTTATTACATGTGACTGAAGTGGAAGCTAATGGGGAAGCAGGTAACTCATCCCCTGCATTACAATCTGGAGCTGAGGTCATTTTGTGTCTCCTTGTGGTTCTTTTGTGTTTTTGCATCTCTTTGACTTCATTTTGTGTCTCTGGGGTAATTTTAAGTCCCTTGAGGTAATTTGGTGTCTCTTTTGGTCACTTTGTAGTCATTTTGTGTCTCCTTGTGGTTGTTTTGTGTCTTTTTGAAGTCATTTTGTGTCTCCTTGTGGTTGTTTTGTGTCT